AAGTTATCAGGTGGGTTAGTGATAGGGTTCATTTTGACCATCGCCAATAGTACGTATTCACGAACTCAAGCAAAGCACGCCTCCGGACCGTAGGTAGGCAGGACAAGACCACAGTACGAAGCAGGGTGTATCGATCAAAACTCACGCACATGCATCAGGACATACTAATTACAGCATGACGTGACGAGTTATTGATTGGTCAATGCGAGGCAAACCAATAAGAACGCTCCAAAAGATAACTATTATGTTTCGTGTACAATTTCATCGCTGATCAATTGTACATTATTATTTCTTCCTTTAATCCCCTTTACTGTACAGCCATGCTGACCTACATCCGGCTGGACACTTGACTGATCTGTAAGTTGTCGCGCTGGCGTTTTGCTCCTGTCTCGCCTCATCCGTCCACGTCTATTGTAGCCCATCGAATATAGCTCATTGCGTCGGACTTTAATTTCCTTCTGATGTCCGCGCTTGGTTACGCGCACAGCGTCAAACTGATATTTACTAGTCTTACAAAACTAATCAATGTCATGGACACGGTAACCGGGAAAATCTCTGCCCACACAACGTACGAACCATTTAAACCTCCCTAACTCTTCCAAAGACTTCTTGTTTTCGCCTTTTTTCTTGTTGTTAACTATGTGTTGTGGCACTTCTAATTGTATATCAGTCAATTTTTAACTAATAACAATAATAATCATCATAATAATACGCATGTGACATGGAATAGACTAAAACGGCTGATGCTATCACCACGACGACCACCACCACTTCTAACCGCTGTGTCAAACACTGCTCGCGGAGCTCAATGGCCTAGTGATCATGGAGATAGCCGCCAAGCACTATGCGCCGAGTTCCACTCCCAGCTCGGCTATCTCTGCCTGATGAGTCTAAACAAAGACGAAACCGTTGGTCGTGGCGTGCAGGGATAGGAGAGAGCCACACCGAAACCCTAACACCACAACCTTGAAACATGCAAACATACAAATGCATCTTAGATATACTACTAAAGAGCTTGTCAGTAGCGTGAAATTTAGCCGTGGCTAAATTCCGTGAGTTGACCGTTCTGATGGTGCCTGTGGCGCTGAATCCGGTGGGGGTTACAGTTTCGTGTTCCTAGGTGATGAAAGGATCATTGAGCAATGGGGAATGCCGCTGCGGCTACATCGAAGGCTCTTCCTCTGGGGTATTGGCTAGCGTGTACACTAAAGACTTTCTGACTTCGGAAAAGTACACCAAAGACTTATGATATCGACATGGCATTATCGTCTAAAATGTCTATTCATTTTGCCATAATTGGACATCAAGTCCCATCTACAACTTCCCTTATTCCACCAGAACTGGAGCTACCTAGTTCTACTTCAGGCAGTTGCTATCTTCTAATTAACCAGGACCAACAACTCAAGTTGCGCAACCCAACGCCTTTGCATCCATGCTCACTTACGCTCTTCTCCATGAATTAGTCTTATGCTTTTCTGGGAGGGCTCGTAGGTATTGCTGAATCGTTCCTCTACTCAGTGTGCTTCAGCCCATGTCTACCAGCAATACGGAAGCAATTTAGCACGCAGCATGGAGTAGCGTCTTAGCTTAGTAGCTTCTGATATCTACATCGCTTTATCACCACCACACAAACTGACACTGGCAAGCTAATCAGAGCGACTTTTCACTTTATTTCAATATATTTAGGATATGTACACTAAAATGATACTTCCCTGCTTCTACCTAATGTCTCCAAGCTATTGGTTACGCTTTCACACATTTATGATCCCAGACTTTCGTCACATCATGAAAGATTTCCTTCCTGCCCAGTGCATCAGTGAATACGTTAACTATAACAATGGAACAATGGAACAATGGATTTATGCGGGTATAAAAGCTAAAGCTTGACAAATCCCGTAGGGTGATCAGTGCGAAAATCATAGAAGTGTGGAAAATTCAATGGAAACCAATTCAGTAAAATCGTTTAACAACGAGTCACTACAAGCTTGTGGACTCACCGAGTTTGAAGTGTCAAAATAATAATCCACTCTAACTCGGAGGGAATCATGAGGCATGGAGTATTTGGTTAAATAGTCACTGCCCCTTGAAATTCGCATGGCGCAAAGTGTTTGAGTTTGAAGCGTCCAAATATACATCCACTGTTGAAATAAGCGTAGGGGAAAATTATTTTTAAAGTATGGATTTTGGATCTCTCAAAAATTAGACTGTACTATGGGAGATAGTGCAATGAAGTGAGTGCACTATCAACTCGATTTTTGAACTCGATCAGGTTGGGTGCACTGACTACAAATTCTGGGAGAGCATTCCAGGCTTGGCAAACACGAACAGAAAAGAAATTCCGTCGACATTCCAAACGGCTGTACTGCACTGCCAGCTTCAGATGATGGCCTATATATATATATATATATATATATATATATATATATATATATATATATATATATATATATATATATATATATATATATATATATATATATATATATATATATATATATATATATATATATATATATATATATATATATATATATATATATATATATATATATATATATATATATATATATATATATATATGTATATAGTGGGAACAGCGCATTTCGTGCAAAGCAACATCCCTGTTGCGAAACAATCGCTTGCAAAGTCTTGATAATGCCAGATTTGGTGTGCCTCGAAGTATTTGAGAAAAAAATTATTTATTTAAATGTTTATTCTTTTCGCCAGCATCAAGATCCAGTCCCACTAACCACATCCCAATATGTTGTCAAGCATAGCTGCTATCTTCTAATTAACCAAGAGCACTGAATAACATTGCTGGACTCAGCGCCCCCTGCAATCGTTTGCATCGATGATCAATTATGTTTTTCTTCATGAATTTGTCTTGCTTTTAGGTTATGGGTGGTGGAGATTTAGCTCAAGATT